GATTACAGAAATATACATCAGATTGCCGGGTAAAAGCCAACATCGGCCAAGAGCCAGCAATGCGTAGACTTCAGGAACGACTGACACCAGCTGCATGTCAAGTACTGAAGCGGCACCTGCGCACTCCTTTGACGGAGTTTGTAATGTCTGCTGACTTATTCACGGCTGTGGACGCAACAGGCACTTACAATGTACACCGTGATTCCATGCGCTGCTCCTGTACATTTTCCATTGAAAACGGTTTGCCATGTCGGCACATATTGGCTTACTGTACACACAATATGACTGATGTGAACTTACAGTCAATTTGTGATAGGTGGTTACACTCTGATACTTATCTGACTCGTATTGCAGTTGAGAATTATTTCCCAATGCAATTGAGCCAGCCGAGCATGAAGAATACAGTGATTGCGTTAATCAGGCGACTGTCTGAGGAACAATGCAGTTCACTTTATAGCCAGTTTTATCAAGAACTTCACGGTAGAATACCACCAACGCCGTTGAACTTACAGGCAGAACCGCAGTTGTTTACTGGAACAAGCATGTCGACTAACTTTACAACGCCGTTGATGCACCGAGTTAATGTGGATTTGGATGAAACGTCAAGTAACGACGAGGATGACGTAGTTTCGATAAACTCAGAAGAGTTAACAGAACGGGACATCCAAAATGAAGAAGATGAAGAGAACCGTTTGTGTGACATCTGTAATCTTGCACAGCCGCCCTGTGAAACTGGTGATGAAGTGGGTTTTTCCCAATATTGTTTTTGTCTATGGCAAAGGTAAAGTGATTAAGCACTTTTTAATGTCAAATGCATTTAGATATACCTTAGATATGAATAATCGAAAAGCGATTATCGCTCATGTATTCGTAAACTTGTTTCTAACGTTTATTAGATATAAAGGTTAAGAAAACTTGGACAAGATTTTGTCATCTAATGAAGACTAATCTAGTAATTTTATATTTAAAATAATGTGATTACTGTTCATGTATTAGTAACACTTTTGTAAACTATCTAATAATAGTACATTTTGAGTACATTTTAATAGGAATATTGCAATATAGTGAAAATTCTAATTAGCTCTTTAAGTCAATAAGTTTATGAGAACATTTATTAGTGATTACCATTACAAAGATGAATGTGATTAAAGCTCATAGAGAAGTAAACAAAATGAAGAAAACTAACTTATTTATGAATAAAATATTGACTTTATAAAACAAGTTGAAACCATCATCATTGAAATCATTAATGTGATAAAAGGTCATATAGTAAGTGTAAAAAGAAATAAGAATATTATCCGTTTCATGAATACAAAAAACAAGAATTTCATATTCTTGTTTTATATTAAAAGTTCCTGAAACCAGAACTATGCGTACGTAAGAAGTACGTCTGATCGTCAACTAAGCCTTCATTGTTATTCATAACTACTGATTATATCACCGTTTTCATTTGCACACCCATATAACGATTAATTACTGCTACAATCACATTGTAGCAGTAATAAAAATTCTCATAAAATATTCAAAAATAAAAAATAATTTAGCGAACAATCGTTTTCATTAACTTCATCATCACCCTATACAGTTGTAAGTCCATAATTTTAATATTTTATAAAGTCCAAAAATAAGGCATGGCATTTATGAATTTGACAATGTAATGTGTTAACAATGGTTAACGTTTACATCTGTAACGATATATATGTTTACAAATTAGAAAGGTCATTCACTAAAGGTCGGGATGATTTGCAGTAAAGTGTTCAGTCACAATAAGTGACTAAGCATTATAGGAAAATTGAAATTGCAAAAAATTTTGTGTCAATGAAATACATAGTCTGAGAATTGAATCTTGTCAATTGACATAATAATAATAATAATAATAAGGAAAATAAATAAGAATAACATTTTAAATGATCATTGATACAGTTGACCTTATTCATATTTATACGTTTAATGTCGATAGATATTTGCTGAGTCAGACGACGTACGGTTGTTCATTTACACTTTATGAAACTGATATTTCAAATGCTTGTCAAAAATGGTTACATTCATAATGTCTAGATCTAGTTCAGGTTTCATATTACGGCGGTTAACAATATTCACACATGAATGATTAAACACACTAGTTTTTATTACGACCAAAAAATTAATTTTAAAATACAGAACTACAAATAATTTACAAGTGAAAATAATGAACCGTTTCAATGGATTTCCAAATTAACCACATTTAAATCTAACGTTGTCTAATTTTCATTAAGAATGGCCATTTACACAAAAAACTTTCATCAAATATTAAGTGCCTTTTTCGGAAAATTTATTACTACTTTCATGTACTGTCAAAGTCGGTTAATTAAATGATGGTCTACGGTTGCTTCACCTGAATTATACATATTTTGCAACCAGTAATTTACCATGATGAATTATTGATATGTTTATTTGTTTCTCCGATTAACAGACCATGTGTTACTAAAAAAACTTATGCACACACTTTGGTAATAATTTGTTTATTAATTGGGTATTTAGCATTAGACAACCGAACGAATTCAGTAATCACTATTATCAAATATTCAAATCGATTTTCAGTTCCTTTTTCATTCAACTTTCTTTTTATGTGATACATATAAGTACTCGTGACATTAAATCACTTGATCAGAAATCAAAAATTTATCCCAATACACATTCACTAACAGTAGGATTGCACTTAATTTGGTGTTTTTTTTCTTAAAATGTCTAAATTTCTTACAAGACTAAGATTACACAAAAAGATTTATTCACTATCGTTAAATTTCAAATGTAAAAATCAAAATTCTGACATCCAATCACAGCACTTGATGCGATTTCAATTTCAACTAATCAGATTACAAAGATGAACAGTTTACGACCAATTACAAAATGAATAAAGGTGACAAAATGTTTATTCATTATCACTTGAGCACACACTTGCAAAACGAGTACACCAATCACCGATCGCTAAATTTTTCTTTCACACCATACATTTTTTTAGATATGGGTGGTAGGGTATCTTAATTGCCGTGGGCAAAATGTCAACCATTAAAATGTACTGATGTTTTATAACAATCCGACAAAACATAACTAACAAATTAAAAACAAACTTTAAAACTAGCCATTTCATTTGCCGAAACGGGATGAAAAATATTGCAATTTTGGGTTGAAAAAACATTTTAAAAAAGGGTGGGTGGGGTTTTTAAAAAAAATTGCCGTGGGGCTAATGAATTTCCCTCTCCCTTTTACTTACTCAATCGTTGGTTGTTGGCTAATATACAATATATACATGTTCTTGATTTGATTGTTGTTGAAACTTGGTAGAATAATAATAGGTAGGTATCTAGTATAAAGCAACTGAATCGTATATGCAGAAAAATCGTTCACTGTTCGTCTTAAGCAATCTTGTGTAGTATTAGTGCAAGGGAAAAATACAAGAGCAAATCGTTATTATACCTAAATCCTAACCCTAAACTCTAATCTTCATACAAAATTTAGCGAAGTGCCACCATACTATTTAAAAGAAATAATCAGATAATGCCTCTTGAATCTTCTCGCTTGACTCATACATTCAAATGGATATAAAGCGCTTGTGTATTATAAATGATATTAGTTTGTGATGGACACCACGATGGTTTACCCCCAATACTGACCTAAAATACCCAACCCTAACAAAAAATAGTATATGGACGCTTAGAAGAATATTTGACACCTTATAAGTGTTCTACAGTTAACAGACAGAGGAACCTGTTGAAAACTTTTACAGATCACCAAATATGCAGAATTTTTTAAAAAATCTCGTTAAATTATTTCTTTAAAATAAACTAACCATTTATCAAAACTGTCGTCTGATCAGTTAAGAATTGGTTAAAAATTCATCACAGTTGTTTTCGGCACATACCTAAGCTACACATCACTAGTTTATGAACTTCATAGGGGACCCTAATTGACCCAGTCAGTGAGCTACAACGTAGAACCAGGCACAAATATGCATCGGTCCAAGTTGCCACACCTTATTAGCACTACAAGACAAACACCAAATTCATAGTAGTTAATTCAATGGCGGTAATATATAGAAGAAAGATTGTGTATAAAAATATCGTATAGGAAGAAAGGATTAGCTAATAGAAAGTGAGGTATAAAGTAATTTGAATCTGATTGTTTAAGAACAGACAAAGAATGTTTACATCTACGCCAGTGTGATCGATTCTGAGCCATGTCACACACAGTCGCCAATCATTGATTATGATAGTTACATGGACCCCAACCATGTAGTCTGCATCTCCCAACATGGCCCAGACTAGAAGTTAGTGACTTCAAGCACTGATGCCACGTTTTGATTTGGCCCCCTCTAACTTTCTTCCATCCGTCCCCAACACTAGTCAGCATTGCGCGTCATGGTAATCGGTGTTCAGCCATACGCAACACGTGGCCCAACCATCTCAGACGATGAAGATTCGCAACCTAATCAACTGATTTGCCACCATTCCCTAATACCCTGTGTCTAACCTCACTAGAACTTACCTGGTGATCCCAGGAGATGCGAGCAATATTTCAAGGACATCTGTGGTCAGATACTAGTAGCTTACGAGTATCTTCTACTCTTAATGGGCATGTTTCGCAGCGGTAAATAGAACAGAACGAATTGCTTCACAGTATACTCGTCCCTTAATTGATAGACTGATATCTCGCCTTCGCCATAGTTGACAAAGCTAAACAAGTTTTTCGAATCCAGATACATATTTGTTTAAGACATATCAAATATCATGTAGAAATTAAGTAAAATAAATATAAATAATAATGAAAATTTTCGATTATTATATTTGACTGTAATAGATCCCAAGCTGCCAATTTTGGGGAAGCCGCTATAGTAAATTTTGGGGAAATGGCACAAAACCCCAAAATTTCCCCAAAGTTGGGAGCTTGGGATAAGGATAAGATAAAATGAATAGTGTATAATAATAACAAATAAACATGAATGTAATTTCAATGATGCTTACTAGTTTGTTGATAAGTCAATACAAAATTTATAGATAGTATTATCCAATATTTAATAAAGAAATATGAACACATTGATAACATATAATACATTTATGACACGTTTGAAGTACTTTTATACTTCTCAAAAGGTTCTAATGCTTTAATATAAACTATAACCAATCAAATCATAAAATCTACTTCCTTTTTTTCCTCAACAACCAATCAAAGAATGATAATTTATTTACTGTATCTATGAGCCAATCAAAACTAACCAGTATATTATAATGCTGAAGGTCATTTATTTGAACATTTTTCTATATTCGATTGAAAGAGAGATAATCTAATTTTGCATTCAAGTTTTATTGAGAAATATGTAGATAAAGTGTTACTATGAAAAAAACTTTAGCGAGATTTATTAATTTATGGACAAACCAATCAAATATAAGATAACAGGTCTTGCATTTTGATGTGAAATTCAGTCATCCATTTGGTTAAATAGAGTTTTGGTATTATAGCTGATATCAGTTCGTGGTGAAAACCCTAAATGTAATTCCTAACCGTAATCATCATATGTAAATCATCACTATAGTTGCTCAGACAGGTTTATAACCCTCATTTGATTCTAGTTATTAGGTGGACACTCTCAAGGTATGTCTAACGTCGCCCAAATATCGTTCATAAATTACATTCTCACCAAAACTTGATTAATTTGATTAAATATTCTTTTCTAGATACTATCATATTACCTCTCTCTAGATACGTATAGTAATTTGAGTTTGTTCTGATATTATTCAAGTCTCTTCTCAAATTAATTTATAAGAATCCTACTATGCATGAATAGGGTGGATCACAGTAATGTGGGAGGCGAAGATGTCTGTTCCGTCATGATGAAAATAAAATATACCAAAGGGAGGAGTGAAACTTATCCGAAAATACAAGGACAATAACACAATATATAGAAGAAAAAAGAAATATAATATCCCAACAGAAAATAGTTTATAGTTTGTTGTACAAGATCACGTCGGACTCACCAATAAAGATCGTAGTATAAAAACCCGGTCAAATCAGACATGGAAAATGAAGTGTTTAGAAGACATAATTGGGAGGCCATCGATATGTCACGAAGCTGGCTAACAGTTGCAAATGATGCGTAGTACGGTGTACCCACTCATGATCTGGTGCGGATGCATGACCAAGAGCTTTTAGCCAGGTGAATCCAGTAGAGTTAATATGGTCAGCATCAATGTCGATGACTTACAGAATTAATGTGGGGATTTATTTACCGCTACGTCTCAGCTTAAAGTGGTAGAAACAGTACACGTTAGAACCCATATTGTGGTTGCCAACATCACTCGAAGACCGAAGAAGGATCGTACTACTCGGTGGGATATTCCCCATTCAATCGGTTCAGCTGATAAATATTCGTTACCGCTAACTGAAGTTCGGATGATCATGAGGCTGACTGGGAGCTTTCTGACCCCTAAAAATTTAAGTGTTCTGATGTAGTGACCGTTTCATGTGGTTTTAATTGGCCCAAACCAACCTGAAAATCACTTAGGTGAGTCAGTGTCACCAGTGAGCGAACAGACAGCAACCACTGTCTCCTATGACGACGTTCAGAAAACTGTTGATTTCTAGTGATCAACCATAAACACAAAGAGGCGTCGTCTAACAAAGAAACGCAAAATTCGTCCGACAATTGAACCATATCGACACCAACCATCAAACAAGTTCCTAACACGTCGTCCCAGTTCAACAAGAGATACAAACTATTCTCAGATTTTCTTACCGTGCTCACATGCATATGCCAACAGAATCTAACCTAATTATTTTCGGTATGCGCTTCTCTCTTTCTATAAACAGTGTTCTTACAAGATTAGTATGCATTGACTAGTGACAACAAGTAAAATAATTGAGCACAGTGACCATTGACTAATCTCAAGAGTTCAGAAGTGTTGAATGAGTAGTCGCTATTATATTAATCAGAGGTATACTTTAGTCTTTACGAATAATATTCTTAAAGAGAACATCGAAGAATGTCTAAATAAGAACTTTCAAATTGGCAAATACATTCACCAGTCCCAATAATTGAGTCATTGCTGGAGGTCCATAATAAACTACCCCATAAACGTTATCAGTTTTCTGTGGAATCGTGAAATGAACCAAAAACAGACTACTTATCTTACTGATTTTCTGAGTTGAGATATTTAACCTGTATTCGCCACATCTGTTACTAAACTATGTTATCTCATGCCTTGATATTACAACGATACTTTGTTCTATTGATGATTGGTGAGTAATAAAACTAGAAAATACCCAATCACTTGAACAACAACGTAGAAAAACACTCGGAGCAAATACGAGGCACTGTGGTAGCTAATAGACTTGACTATACATGTACATATATATATATATATATATTGCAGATCCTCAATGTTAAACGAAATAACTAAATTTCTTTAGATACGTTAGAATTCTAAGCTTTATTCACATGCATTTATCCTGCTTTTAGTAAAAACAAAATAAACCTGGGAATATTTGTAAGTCATTGGCGTCTTGTTTGAAACCTTTCTTTCGACCGTATTCCCACTGTAGTGAAGAATTACCTATCGTACATACCAAGACTACCGCCATAAAGTGTTTATTGTTGAATAAACTTTAGAATAGTCAGTAATTTGATGATTATCCATACTTTTTGTTACTATTTCTACAAACTGAATGTTTTTCGCCCCTATACATAGAAGTATGGATAAGAGTTGGTCAAATATGAGTTCAGGCTGTTCAACAAATCAAGTTGCAAGTGATTTAATAGGACTCTTACAATTATTCTCATTTACATGAAACCCATCTTAACCTGTTCAAATAAAATTGTCGTACATCAGAACGAAACGAAGTTTCATTAGTAATAGAAACGCCAAATAATGGAGTGAAGATTTGTAGCTGAGGGAGGTTATTTTCGTTCTCTGAGAGAGATAGTTTAATCGTCAAACATTTTTCTGAACGCAATCAGGAAGAGTTGTCATTTTTGAATACCTTACTTTTTTATTATTAATGGCTTTATTCAATATTATATTTTGGTACAATATAGAATTCTCAGAACTTCTTCCTGTATTTCGTGCTGATGTTGTTCAGGAAAACAACGAAAGCTATAGAATGAAGCTATTCAAAACACAGAACGAATCTTCAACAAAAAATTGAATGAAGTCACATTGAGCAGAATGACAATTTATGTGCACACATAAAACTTATCGAGTCATGATAACAACTCTAAAGGATGGATTTAGGTTATGAAATTCGTAAACGATTAAGTAAATGATTGGCGGCTAGGTCATACTATATAGGCTAGTCCACACGAATCACTGTGCCAATATAAATCGACCATTCCTAACAGTTTATCGGATTAGTAATTTTTTGTTAAACTCGTAGCCCTTCTGATGCTAAGAACTGTGTTTAACCTTATCTCTTGACTCGCCCAACCATAGGCCCAATAAGTCAATAACTATCTTCATTTGACTGGTATACATATAGCCCTAACCTTTCGACTTTTACAGGTTAATTCTGCCTTATTAACACAACTTCGTAATATTATTGTTATTCCAAATATTTGAACTCATCATACTTAATCAGTTAGTAAATTTTTTTTCTTTGAAATGTCGGTTTTTTAGTAGGAAATCTTGTCTGTATACTGTCTAACAATAATTATACACATTTATATATCAATGTGAATGCCCTAGTACGGCCGAGGATGGAGAGAGTGCTCTCCCTCTCGAAAAACTCTCACGTAGCCAAGGTCCGAAGTCGTACTGCTGACTGTACAGAGGTGTGACAGCAGTAAGGTGTTCCCTTCAGACAACCAGCATGACAGCGATGCTGCCTTCCCACAAGGAGGGGTGGAGTTAGAAAAGGTCGACCCTAAAAATGCACACCTCGCCTTATCCCACGGATATCCGTCTTCGGCGGTAAGGTCTCTACAAGTACGGAGCTAACACAAAAATTACTCTTAAGGTCGTGTGTGACTGACCTCAAGCAGTTGTCGTTTGGGCACTGCGATCACGCTCTCAAGTCACTAAGACCACCTTTAATCCAATTTCCTTTTCAGATACCTCAATTGGCTACTGAATACATAGCACTTCAAACAGTAGGTAGCCTTAGATCAAATATTCAATCGTATTTCTTTCATACTGTTATTTTTGCAATTATTTTGATTACCAATTACACTATTTCATTTACCATACAAAGTTAACATTGTATACTACTCATTCCAGTATTAATAATTTTACTTTATATAAACAATCTTAAATTCAAATAATTTAATTCTAAAATTATGTATAAATCTTTAATTTGCTCATTTTTTTGGACTATCGATTTGACAGTAAAATGTCATCTGAGAAGTCTATTTAAAAACAATTTTCCATTTGCGTATTAATATGATGGGAATTTTTTTTAAGGAATTAGATAACTAATCTGAGGAGCTTGAAAAAATGTAAGTAATATCATTTACGGATCCGGAATTGTAAGGCTACGATTAGTAGCCATTTCAACAACTTATAACTAAGTTTTAATTGACGGTATGAACAACAATTGCTTCTTTGAAAGTGAAATATTTCCACAAAAGGACAAAAGCCAAAATAATAAAGAAATTTATCTAATATTTAGAGAACTACATACAAAAACTTGCAAAACGAACAAACAAAAAAAGACAGAAGACGACAAAAATGTTTACAAATAAGGAATAAAAGAACTCAGACATGACGACTGCCAAATGTCAGAACAACAGCATATAAGGAACTAAATAATTAAAGAAGCAGAAAAAACAGACGAAGAACAATCAAATGTGCAAACATACAATTTTTCGCAGACTATAGTTGAGCATACACACACACACGCACGCACACACACAACGTTCAAACACACGTATGCAGACACCAGAACACAAACTTTAACAACCACGTATCCATATAGAATACTCAGAGATTATTGGATGCGAACTTGCTACAATGACAGTCGTCGGCATTTCAACCTGAAACCAAATAGAAAGTCACATTATTTTAGTTTAAAAAAATTAAGTGAATTCAATTAGCTAAACTCTAGTAAACGGAAATACGTTATTTTACAAAACAATCGTAACTAAAAAGTGTCTAGACTTAAACAAGCCATTAATTTCTTCATTAAGCTAAGAAGCGATTTAGTCTTTTGCACAAATTTTGAAAATTGTTCAGATTTATAAATAAAACACATTTACCGAGCGGAAATTTTTGCATCTGACCGAGTCATACCATCTTTGACAGTTAGTGGTGCAATCCGGAATTTAAACCAAGGTAAAAGAAGTTGGGTTTGTATTTGTAACCTACTGGTTGAAAAAGGAGTTGCTAATACCGTTTTAAAATTGACAGGTCACTGTACATCTTAAAAATGAGTGAATATTGAGGATTATGTTATATAGCCTATGTAAATTTGGAATATGATCAACCTATCATATTCACTTCACAAAATGTGACAAAATGCTTCATTTATAAACAAGCACATCTAATCCACAACATTTGATTTTGTCTCCGGTGTTGTTTGAATTGAACTAACCATTTCTGAAATGCTTTTCGTTTAACTAAGTAACATAAACTAGAAATTTCCTTGATTTGAAGTTATAGGATTGAAAACTTCTTGTGAGCACTTTTCTCTTTTGAGTATTATTATTCAACTTTCTTTAAAGATGTAGATAAATGGATATGATAACTTAAATGTAATAATGCCAACAACGTATTCAAACACTTAAATTTTCTAGTAAACTTTGCATTTTCATATTTTTCGTCAGATTTAGTAAGTTACTTTAACGGAGTTATGTAGATCAGGAAGCTACAAAAATCGTAGCACGTACATAATCATACGTAAATTTAAGGGATTTGTTTTTTGTGTTTCTACTCGAATATAAAATTATCATTTTATGCTCCAGAATTCATGTGATAAAACTCATCAAACTTACGTGTATGTGAAATGATCAGAGAATTTCACTAACAACTTTTAAGATTTAAAAATATTCAACCACCTGATGTACTGAGTTAAGAGAATCCTGAGTTCTCAAAATAGGTTACTTCTGCTGATAAAATGAAAGTTGTTGGTTCGTATCACATTGTAACAAGATTTCTATAAAGCTTCACTTGGCAAACCTCAGTACGACAGATCCCCAAATTTACTCGATCAACAGAACTATTTGAATTAATGTATCTTCAAAGGAGCTATAAACACGGATTATTAATATGAAAACCGTTTCCATTACAACCGGATATTAGCTGGAGAACCAGTGAAGACCATGGAAAATAGACAGTGGTCTTATTCTGAAATGCTTCAGTAACGGGCACTTAAAACTCCCGAAGAAGGACATTCAGGTTTCGAAGTAACCATGATACCTTTAAAATAAAAAATGGGAGTCCAATAATTTACATTTCTGACTTATACCAGTCTGTGACAAAATGTGCTCATTGATGAACCTCATTGGTAAGTAGTCCTTCCAAATAGGCTGACTTCAATATGTACTCTGTATGGATAACCAGAAAACGCGCCATAATCTACAGATCAAGGCGTAAACAAAGATAAATCTGTACACGCTTACTGAATAATATTTAAATTCAAACATTAGATTTCAGAAGGCCATAAGTAAAGTTAGTGAACTTGAAATATAACAAGTTAACATTTGCAATACATGTAATGATAAAAAGACAAAACTCATGAAAAAGTACTGGATACTTTTTCATTCATACATATTTTAACAAATAAATACACGATAAAACGACGAAACTTGCCTATACTTGTTATAAGGAAACATTTGCACATTTGTGAAGAACTTTCAGTTCAAGGAAAATGATGAAAACGGTGGTAGTGACTGAGACTTCGTGTTTTCTCCCCCACGCAAAAACAGGTAAAAACCGTTAATCTGAAATCATTGTAAGTAATATACACCAAAACTCGAACACAAAGTAACAAATTAAACGCAATACAATGTGGATTGACAAGACAAGAATTCTTTGTGTGAGGGAGGTTACTTAGTGAACTTTCAGTAAGCAAAAATTATCAGCCAACTAAGAAAAAACTATACTAGGCAAGACTGACAGACTGAATATTCGTAAAATTCAGCAACGCGACAAATAATACTTCGTAGTGGCGTAATGAAAGTGAGGCAATTACGTTAACTTTCAATACAGATAAAACGATAAGACCGTTCATCAACTAATTAAATTACACTAATTACTCATAATATTATTTGTAAACGTTCGACTATTTATGTAATTGAATAAACAGTAATAAGCATTACGATTAAGATTAATAAACGTCAAAAATGTTTTTAAACTTACCGAAAATAACAACAGACCAACGAATGAATACAAACTTGCAAATATGAAACAAACGTCAGTTTAAATGCACACAAGTGAGAATGGTGATTATGGTAGGTATTACTAACCAAAAAGTCAACTAAGGCAATCCAACAGATTTGAACATCAAACAACTGAAATTAATACATCAATTATGTCTGTATATATATATATATATAGACCATCGACACTGGAAAACAGAAATAAATAATTACAAGGGACTAGTGAAAGTTTGCTTGTTTTTCTGAGAACAAGAAGCAGTAGTTTTTTGTCGTAATGGTTACTGGGCAGATGAAGTAAAAACAACAGCTCGTGAATTTTCCGAAGATATACGGGCACGCTTCCTAAAATCTTCCGAACCATGCAATTGTGAGTCAGCATTACTCCTAGAATTTGGATGACTATCGGAGGAAAGTTCAAGACTGGAATCAACCAATCCAACACGTTTTGGTGTAAGTTTACCAGTAGAATCGACTGTATTGAGTGTATTATTGCACAAGGAATGATCTGAAGACAATAAATGTGTATCCTTCATGGGATCCTGAGATAAAAGTATTAAACAAGGAAAATTTTGCATTGAACTTAAATTTTAAGCATAAAAAAACCTCACATATAACATGTACTTATTTTCTAAATTTTAAGATGGTATTTTATAAGTTTGTAACTCTTAGATCATCAGTATTATTCGTTAAGATCAGAAGGATTTTCAATAAACTATTAGAATTACAAATGATACGATTATGGGATTAGTTTACGGAAATGAAACGCGACAAGATACATATAATTTTAATCCCAATTAAATGTTACAGACCAAATAATGCTATTTTTGTGATAACAAGCACATTAAGGTGAAGTTTTAGGGATTATAGAAAAAAGCCTATTCATTTACGAGGTGGTCATAATGAATAACCTACATATTTATGATTATCTAGGGTAAGTGATGATTCATTTAGTTGAATGTCAGGTGGTGCAGCACCACATACCCCAGAGGATATTAATTTCGGAGATGGAGGAGGACATTTTGGTGATGAGTTTATGGTAGCCATGTTGGTCAGAGAACTTGTAGAAATGGAATTATGAAGACTATTTGCAGGGGACGAAAATTCCTCAGATCCAGAGAGTTCAATACTGCTAGCTGGACTGGATATTGAATTCAATGTGTTGCTGTTCGGAAGTAAACGGCCACTTTTCAGACTTTCAGTAGGATTATTTACATTTGATAAAGCGGCAGAAGCAGCTTGACGTTTAATTTCATCCATATCTTCTGCAGAAATGAACTGAGCTAATTGTGACCTAAGAATAAAAGATATTGTGGAGTATTATGGACAATATTTCAGTGGTTTAATGGGTCAGTTAAATACTAAATCGAAACAAACAGCTAAAAGTAATCTAGCTCGAACTTGACAATCAAGACTGAATCCACCAAGCAATAAGAATTCTCTGAAGAAATCTATCCTACAATAGTTACAACTACATTCAAGTCCCCTTCAAAGACTTGTGTGGCTAAATATGAGATGGTGGTTCGAGGTAGTCAACAGGAAACCCTGGATGTAGGTTTCGTACTATTTGACTCCCGTCAGCAAGGAGTACCTGCAGTCGTGAGGGGAGTGATGCTCCGTGACGGATTCGACCCAGTGTCACCCAGAGCTTACAGCTACAAATTGCTGATGAGTATCAAATAGCGAGAAAACTAAGTTCAGGGTATCCTATCGACTACCACGAACCCAGTCTCATCTCAACACTGTGCACTTAATGTCGAGCGACCTACACTAACCGCCAGATTGCAACTTGGTCGACAGAATTCGATTCGCACAAAGAAGGACCTAATAATGATCATTACCCAGTGATCAATCAACTGTAAAGACTGATTAGATTTAGCTATTAGGCTGACTAACATTTTACGTAAAACCAAGGAGTTTGACGTATTCCTATCTCACTGGTCACAATCATTTATCGTTCCAATATATAAGAGAGAGTCAAAATCATCCTGTGACAACCGTAGAGGGACTACTTTGACTAACATAGTATCTAAAATACTAGCCTCGATAATTATCGGACGCCTAACTAAGACTCGTGAACTGCAAACACGAGAAAATCGGGCTGGCTTTAGACCTGGTCGTGGCTGCATCGACCACATATTCACCATTCGTCAGGTACTAGAACACAGGCGTACTTATCGACGTCCGACAGTGGTGATGTCCGTCAAGGATGTCCACTATCTCTATTTTTGTTCAACTTCATCATAGACCTACTGATGAAAATAACATTCTCGTCGACAGAATTTTTAGACATTGATCTCCCACCAGTATGTCTACTTACCGACTTAGAATTCGCAGATAAAGTCGCTGATTAAATGCTGAGTATTTTGGTAGCACTGAGCAACAATACCAGGATGTTTGGGATGCGTTTCTCTCCCTCTAAATGCAAGTTGTTGCTTCAAGACTGGTCTGCGTCAACACCTGAACTAGGGATAGGGAGCTCCCCAAATGCCCTGGTACGGCCGAAAGTGGGGTGGGTTCGCCCTCCCTCTCGAATTTCCCTCACACGGCCACGAGTATACAGCCTCTGCCAGGGAAGTCCTACTCATTGCCTTCTCGTGGCGAGGGTGTTGTTTACGGAAATGAGATGACGAAGAGCGAATGTCCGGCGCTTTGACCGTATCCCAAACCAATGGTGCACATGGGCTCCAGTGTCCTTCGGGAACAAACGGCGTACGAACCAATCGTTGGTAACCGGCTACCATGGGAATGCATCTCCTCACGATGCTCCACTGCCTTGTGGATCAGACCTTTAGGTCAAAGGCTCGGGGTGTGGCCCCCTAAGAAAACTACCTGCTTCGGTTTGGGCACCGGGGCAGTATCACAGCCCACACACTAATATGGTGTGGCGCATATATATTTGGTGCCCTCTTGTACCGATGTTTATGTGTTGAAATAAATAATAAATAATAAGGGATAGGGAGTGAAGTAGTCAAACGCGTTACAACTTCACTTATCTTGTAAGTTCGATCAACCCTAATGAGTTGGTGTCTGACAAAATCTCAGCACGGATTCGAAAAGCCGGTTTGGCTCTTGTCAACTTACTTTACCTATGGCGAGGGCGAGATATCAGTCTATCAATTAAGGGACGAGTATACTGTGAAGCAATTCGTTCTGTTCTATTTACCGCTGCGAAACATGCCCATTAAGAGTAGAAGATACTCGTAAGCTACTAGTATCTGACCACAGATGTCCTTGAAATATTGCTCGCATCTCCTGGGATCACCAGGTAAGTTCTAGTGAGGTTAGACACAGGGTATTAGGGAATGGTGGCAAATCAGTTGATTAGGTTGCGAATCTTCATCGTCTGAGATGGTTGGGCCACGTGTTGCGTATGGCTGAACACCGATTACCATGACGCGCAATGCTGACTAGTGTTGGGGACGGATGGAAGAAAGTTAGAGGGGGCCAAATCAAAACGTGGCATCAGTGCTTGAAGTCACTAACTTCTAGTCTGGGCCATGTTGGGAGATGCAGACTACATGACTATCGCAACCAATGGTTGGAGACTCTCAGAATTGATCACAATGGCGTCGGTGTATACACTCTCTGTTTTCCCTTAAACTAAGTGATTAAAATTGCTTCATATCTTTCTTTTTACAAACTAATTCTTCCTCCCTGTACTTTATCCTTATCGCAATCCTTCTTTTATATATTACCACCACTGAATTAACTACTATGAATTTGGTGTTCGTTTTGTAGTGCTAATAAGGTGTGGCAACTTGGACCGATGCATATTTGTGCCTGGTCCTACGTTTATAGGTACTTCCTTTATGTAATAATTTTGAGTGAATTCAGTATACTATCGTAGAATTTTGATAGACTGAGAGGATTGTCTGTGTACCTAGTATATGACAAAGAATATTCGCTCCCGCTAAACTACATTTTAATGTATAAATTAATATATGACCAAATACTTAACCGGTTGTTACATAATATATAATTATAATTACTTGTAGAGCAAGCGTTTTATGACCTGGACGATTTTGAATGAGTATACTAAATATTTTCTTATTGTCAGACTAATCAAAGGACTTACTTTTTGACATATTTAACGGTTACTGATAAGTCTTCACTTGAAAGACCACGTTCAATTGATTTTTCAAAAGAGCTGATATTCTCACTTAGGTCTACGTTCAGGGTAGCCTTATCACTAGAGACATTTGAATTATGAACAGTACTGGTCAAAGAATTAGTATTGCGATCGAATTCCATCCCAATGAACCATTTACGAACAAAATTAGCATCATCATCATTAGGACCTTTTCCGTAGGCATGACAGTTTACATGTGCCATTTTGACATAACGGTTTACCTCGAAATTGCTAACAAGAACACGTAATCTGGATTCCACCAAACCACATAATTCGATGAAAGTATGTTTAGTATTTCCAACAACGATGACAACAACATAGTGACGATATTGGAAGAAAAAGGCTGCTTCAAATAGGTTTGACCAGGAACCCTTGTGCATCATTGAAGCCCTGACAACATTCAAACCTTTAGAAAGTAGAATACAGTATAAATTGAAACAAAAACGTATGGAAAAAATGATAATTCACAGTGAAACTGACTGTACAAGTAGGAATTTAAGTTTAACAGCAGTTAAATAAACTTTGCCTGATCTAACCAAAACATTTTGTCCTCAAATTAGTTGTAATATTTGATAAAAATCATACATGTTTAGCCTTGTTATTCGGGGAATAAATCTTCAAGCATTGATTTACGGGACCCTTCGTGAACATTTTTATCGATCAACAGTTACAGTAGAAATATTTACCTTACTTACTTACTTACTTACGCCTGTTACTCCCAATGGAGCATAGGCCGCTGACCAGCATTCTCCAACCCACTCTGTCCTGGGCCTTCTTTTCTAGTTCCATCCAATTCTTGTTCAGTTTTCAAATGTCTATCTCCATTTCCCGACGTAATGTGTTCTTTGGTCTTCCTCTTTTCCTTTGACCTTCAGGATTCCATGTGAGGGCTTGTCTTGTGACGCAGTTGGGTGCTTTCCTCAATGTGTGTCCTATCCACTTCCAGCGCTTCTTCCTGATTTCTTCCTCCACTGGGATCTGGTTTGTTCTCTTCTACAGTACGTTGTTGCTAATAGTGTCCGGCCAATGGATCTGAAGTATTTTGCGTAGACAATTGTTAATAAACACCTGTATTTTCTGGATGATGGCTTTTGTAGTTCTCCAGGTTTCTGCCCCATACAGTAGAACTGTCTTGACATTTGTATTGAAAATCCTGACCTTGGTGTTGGTTGACAGTTGCTTTGAGTTCCAGATGTTCCTCAGTTGTAAATATGCTGCTCTTGCTTTGCCGATCCGCGCCCTCACATCTGCATCAGATCCACCCTGTTCATCAATGATGCTGCCCAAATACGTAAAGGTTTTTACATCTTCCAAATCTTCTCCGTCAAGTGTGATTGGATTGGTGCATTCTGTGTTGTATCGGAGAATCCTGCTTTTCCCTTTGTGTATATTGAGACCTATTGCTGCTGAGGCTGCTGCCACACTGTTTGTCTTCTCCTGCATCTGTTGTTGCGTTTGGGATAGAAGGGCCAGATCGTCTGCGAAGTCTAGATCATCCAACTGCATCTTAGATGTCCATTGTATCCCGCGCTTCCCTTCAGACGTTGACGTCTTCATGATCCAGTCGATCACCAGGAGAAAGAGAAAGGGTGAAAGTAAGCAACCTTGCCTAACACCGGTCTTCACTTCGAACGACTTTGTCAACTGTCCTCCATGCACGATTTTGCAGTGTAATCCATCATATGAGTTCTGTATGATATTGACTATCTTCTGAGGCACGCCGTAGTGTCGAAGAAGTTTCCATAGTGTTGTTCTGTTCACGCTATCAAATGCCTTTTCGTAGTCAATGAAGTTGATGTAGAGTGATGAATTCCATTCAATTGATTGTTCCACAATGATCCGTAGAGTTGCGATTTGGTCTGTACACGATCTATCCTTACGGAATCCTGCCTGTTGGTCACGAAGTTGGGCGTCTACGCAGTCCTTCATCCTGTTTAACAATACCCTGTTGAAGACTTTTCCCGGTATTGAGAGAAGAGTAATGCCCCTGTAGTTATCACACTTGCTGAGATCGCCTTTCTTCGGTATTTTGATCAGAAGTCCTTCTTTCCAGTCTGTTGGTACTTGTTCTCCATCCCAAATCTTATTGAAGAGAATGTGGAGTATCCGTGCAGTTGCCGCTACGTCTGCTTTTAGTGCCTCTGCTGGAATGTTGTCCGGTCCTGCTGCTTTGCCACTCTTGATTTGTCTGATAGCCATGCTGATTTCTTCAATTGTTGGTGGGCCAACATTGATTGGGAGGTCCGTCGGTGCTGCTTCGATGTTGGGTGGGTTCAGTGGAGCTGGTCGATTCAACAGTTCTTTGAAGTGTTCTACCCACCTGTTTTGTTGCTCTTCAATGTTGGTGATTACTTCGCCTTCTTTGCTTTTCACTGGTCGTTCTGGTTTGCGGCGATTTCCAGAGAGTTTCTTTGTCGTGTCATACAATTGTCTCATGTTTTCTTCTCTTGCAGCCTTTTCCGCCGTCGTTGCTAAATGTTCCACATATTTACGTTTGTCGGTTCTGATACTCCTCTTCACTTGTTTGTTTATTTCCGTGTATTCAGCTTGTGCCTTGGCTTTTTCTGCTCTTGTTCGGCTGGTATTGATTGCTGCCTTCTTGTTCCTCCTTTCTTGAATCTTATCCAGTGTATCAACAGTGATCCATTCTTTGTGATGGTGCTTCTTGTGACCCAGGACCTCATGACATGTTGAAGTGATTGCCTCTTTGATCCTCTTCCAGTTGCTCTCCACAGTAGTTCCTTCTCCATTGAGTAGATCATGAAAGGCCTGGAACTTGTTGCTGAGGACTATCTTGAATTTGTTGAGTTTGTTAGTATCCTGGAGAAAGGCCGTATTGAACTTTTGTGATACTGTCTGCCCCGTTGTCCAGTGCTTCTTGAGTTTCAATTTCATCTTGGCGACCAGTAAGTGATGATCTGATGCTATATCAGCTCCTCTCTTGGTTCTCACGTCCTCTATAGTCCTCCTGAACGTTTTGTTGATGCAAATATGGTCGATTTGGTTTTGTGTAGAGTGATCCGGTGAAGTCCATGTGGTTTTGTGTATGCGTTTATGTGGGAATATGGTGCCGCCTATGACCAGCTTATTGAAGGCACATAGATTTGCAAATCTCTCACCATTTTCGTTTCGTTCTCCCAGTCCGTGTCGTCCCATGATGTCTTCATATCCAGTGTTGTCCGTTCCAACCTTGGCGTTGAAATCTCCCATCAGAATGGTCAGGTCCTTTGTTGGGCACTTCTCGACTATTGACTGCAGCCTATTGTAGAATTGATCTTTAGCGTCTTTATTGTCGTCGTTGGTAGGCGCATAGCATTGGATGATGTTCATTGAAATGCCCTCTTTCTTTGTTTTAAACAAGGCTTTGATGATCCTTGGTCCATGAGATTCCCATCCTATAAGTGCATTTCGTGCTTGTTTGGACAGCATCAATGCAACTCCTTGTGTATGTGGTGCATTTTCTTCTTCATGGCCGGAGTATAACAGGAGCTCTCCTGTAGTTAGTCGTTGTTGTCCAACTTGTGTCCAATGTGTTTCACTGATCCCAAGTACCTCTAGGTTGTATCTTCTAATTACTGCAGCAATCTGGAAGGCTCTTCCGGTGTCCCACATTGTACGAACATTCCATGTACCTAAATAAATGATCGCTCTGGTTGTCAGAAGGGGCATCGGCCTCGTAACTTCCGAAGGGATTCGGCTTTCATCATGAGGCGTCATAATTCTTCTAAATGAAGATCTTCTGACTCCCAGGGCAGAGTTTAAAAGGTTTGAATAATTTTTTCTGGTTAGCGTTTTTTTAGCGAGTTAGTTTTCTACGGGATGGGGACGCTAACCCCATGCCCAACCCTCCTCCTTTATCCGGGCTTGGGACCGGCAGTAGCCCCCAGAGGGACTCCAGGCGGAGTCAAATCTGTTCACTATTAAATGTATTAGAAACTTCCCAGATATGTGAAACCAAAGAGTTTTAACATTATTTAGATGTAGGTTTGAAAATGATAATTCAAGATAAAAGCCTCAAAAATCTGTGAAGTTAGACGTTGAAATTTTTCTTCGATTATGTCGGAAAATGCCACTGGTTATTTTATGAGAGAAGTAACAAAAGTGCATATTTAGTAGCTTCTACTTTATTCTTTTCGGCATCGATACCAAATAAACCACGAAAATGACGTTATTTCCAAAAATGATATAAACACGTGAAAAAACTACAGGCAGAATGATTAGCCCTGGTTGCGAAATACAGCGAATCAATAAAACGACTATTACTAATAGATGTTTACTAAGTCATTCATTCAGCAGCGACGTAGAACTATGTACGTACATGCATCATTTCCAGCTGCCATACCACATTAGCACAGAGATACAATTGTCGATTCAAATCCCGTAGTGAAAGAGATAGCAAAAGCATAAGCAACAATCGGAAACAATAGGGTTTGAAGATGCTATTCAAGGAGTATAACCCAGTGAAATAAATTTGGAAAGAGGAAAATTAAGGGACATGAAGGATTCAGAAGATTGGAATTTGGGAGGACACAAAGAGTGGATGCACCTGCGCCATCGCAATTGATTTTGAACTATGTCATTTAAGGTCTCTAACCATCAGTTGCTATCGTCTCACGGATCCCGACCAGCTAGTCTACACCTACCAACATGACTCAGTCCACTTATCAGTGACTTCATGGATTTGTGCCATGTTTGGGTCTGGTCGCACCTAGCTTCCTTCCAACCTACTCCCACACCATAAAACATCGCCCATGGGGGCAATCGGTGGTTGAACATACGTGAAACGCGTCCCAGTCATCTCAACTGATGAAGTTTTACTACTTCATCAATTGACTTGCTATCCTTAATTAGTACCCGTTTCCTAACAACTGCATTACTTACTCGATGGTCCCGGGATATACGAGCAATGCTTTGAAGACACCTATGATCAAATACCAGTAACCTACGAATATCCTCTACTCTTATCGGCCATGTTTTACTGTCATAAAGTAGGACGGAACGAACTGCTGCGCAGTAAACCCGTCCTTTGATTGGTAGATATCTCGCCTACGCCATAAATGACGCAAGTTGGCAAAAGCTAGTCGGGCCTTCTGTCTCCGTGGTGAGATTTTGTCACACACCAGACAACAAGGGCTCCCAAGATAGGTGAAGCGGTCAACATGCTCAACTACTTCACCCCCTTACGTTAGTTCGGTGTTGATGCAACCCAATCCTGAAGCAACATTTTGCATTTCGAGGGGGAGAATCGCATCCCGAACATGCTTGCATTGTTGCTTAGAATGGTCAGAAGACTCTGCATTTTGTCAGCGTCTTCACCAAATAGAACTATGTCATCAGCACATTCCAAGTCAACAAGTGAATCTCCCGGTAAAAGTTCAACTCCTAGAAATTTAGATGAGCAAAGTGTTATCTCTAAAAGCACGTCAACGACAAAGTTAAACAAAAACGGAGAGAGTGGACGGTCCTGACGAACACCACTTGAGGTAATCAATTCCGATGACAGTTCGCCATCAACTCTCACTCAACCAGTTGTGTTCGAGTAGAGAGGCCAAATGATAAAATAACTCCCATATTTGAGACGATTAGAGCACTTTAAAGTATATTTGAAAAATATGGAGATTTAGATGAATTTTTGAACAATTTACCTTAAATAGATACGACCAGAAATCGTATAAAGCGAGTTATTTTTAAGGACTTTTGACAAGAATAATGCTTTTGGTAACTTTCACTGACAAACTAATCATAACCACTCCACACAAGACAGAGGATGAGGTAACAGACAATACATTTAACCATGAAGGGTATTGGAAGGTTTGCTATTTAATCTGGCCTATAGTAAAAAATAACCAAACACTTGGCTTCTACAAATCAAGATACAAAAAACAAAATGCAGTGAAACCTACCTTGTTTTAATTCCCTTTCAATAATAATGCGATTACTTCGCTGTACATTGTACGTTGAATTTTGGGATGGGTAACTTGGAGTCAATATAGGCATCAAGTGATATTGATCAGAAGGATTAAGCTGGTGTTAAAAATTAAATTATTTACCACACACAATGATTAGTGATTGCAGTCATATTAATGCAACAGATTTTAAACTCGTTAATTCAGTGATATACAAAGATATATATAAGCAAAAGCATGGTAAGGTGCTCCAGAAATCGATTTATCGGAAAGTGAGGAATTAGATACATGGTCACAGCTCAAATCCCTGCTCCTGTTCGGCTATTGTTGACTTCAGCCTCCGTGTTTCCCCTTCTTGCATCTTGCGGAGGAAGCCTTCAGAGGTATATTGTTTAATTGGGGCTTGTTGGGGTCAAACATCTCTTGTCAATTTTTAGTTACTGCTTATTCAATGCCTTTTTAGTTGGTCAATATAGTGATTTGCTCCTCTCCTAGTAGATCTCGTAAGACCTAGAACCATGAACTCGCTGAGCTTGTTGGCATGTCAAAGGAATATTGTAATGAACATCGTACGCCCGTTTGTCTAACGACCCAATGTCTCTATAGCTTGGTCACCACCAAGCGCTGATCTGAAGCGATATCAGCTCCCAGCCTAACACGTCGTCCGGACATTCCATGTTCTTATGTTTATTGTTGACCTGGTTGTCAGAAGGGCCACTGGTTTAGTGGCTTCCAAAGTCTCGGCTTTCACTGCGAGGCATCGTAACTCCCATAAACTTCCAGAGCAGAGTTTGAATCGCCTAGTTGTTCGACGCTGGTTAGGGTATTGTTAACTGATTTTTCATGAGATGGAGTTGCTAACCTCTCTCCTGAACCTTCATTTTTAATAGGCCTGGCTGTTAGTTACTTTAGAGGTTCTGTAGGCTGAGCTTAGTATTGACTAGTCAGTGATACAGTACTTTGGTTTAGAAATTTTTATTTTTTCCCACTAAATAATGGATTCATAGTCTGGTAATAGTAATTCACGCCCGTTAACAACTGCAAATTCCTGGTTTATTTAATATTGATGAAGGGAACACTAATATCCTTGCTCTTCAACTACTAAGTGTATATACATAGTCGTAATTAGAATCAGCTTTTGTCAGCTCTATCCGAAAAATTGAAAGAAAAATCACATTTTTTTGAGATGTGTTCTACATTGTCGAATATCCACCGTCGTTTCCTTTACTTAATACGTATGAATACTGGTATAACTCAGTACCGAAATAATATACAATGTTAGTTATTCCCATAACTAACCAATCGAATCTCAGCCTAAATGCCCACCACGTTAACCTGGTCTGATGTGTCTTTAGGCTATCCCTGTTGCATTTTACCTGCCAACTGAAGGACAAGATTATTCTATTATATTAGTGTTGAGATGTGTGCTACTGACGTCGATAGATATAAGTAGTATGTATCATGAATCAAAAGTGAAATGCCTGGAGGTAGAAGGTTAAGAAGATCAAAGAAAAGAGTGAGAACAAAGAATGAATGCTGTAGAAATGAAAGAACAGTCAGGTCTGAGACAACTGATTGACATTTTGCAAATGAACTATTTACGTATGGTTCCCAGATTTCACTAACAGATTCTGTAATTTTGTGATCAAATACATCCGATTGTACCCACTTATGTTCTCATCACTACAGTGTGACTAAAGCTCATATTATTCATTTCGATAAGACACGCAACACTGGTGGGTATAAAAAAAGATAAAGTGTAAAGACAAATTACCCTTGCCCTGACCATGGCTTTCACATAAACTCTGAGTTGACAGTATCGCATTTACAGTTCGGGTAAAATATCTATAGAACGAATTGAATCCTACAAAGTTTTGAACAGTCAGTCAGCTACAATGTAGGACCAGGCACATACGCCGTTTGTTCCCGAAGGACACTGGAGCCCATGTGCACCATTGGTTTGGGATACGGTCAAAGCGCCGGACATTCGCTCTTCGTCATCTCATTTCCGTAAACAACACCCTCGCCACGAGAAGGCAATGAGTAGGACTTCCCTGGCAGAGGCTGTATACTCGTGGCCGTGTGAGGGAAATTCGAGAGGGAGGGCGAACCCACCCCACTTTCGGCCGTACCAGGGCATTTGGGGAGCTCCCTATCCCTAGTTCAGGTGTTGACGCAGACCAGTCTTGAAGCAACAACTTGCATTTAGAGGGAGAGAAACGCATCCCAAACATCCTGGTATTGTTGCTCAGTGCTACCAAAATACTCAGCATTTAATCAGCGACTTTATCTGCGAATTCTAAGTCGGTAAGTAGACATACTGGTGGGAGATCAATGTCTAAAAATTCTGTCGACGAGAATGTTATTTTCATCAGTAGGTCTATGATGAAGTTGAACAAAAATAGAGATAGTGGACATCCTTGACGGACATCACCACTGTCGGACGTCGATAAGTACGCCTGTGTTCTAGTACCTGACGAATGGTGAATATGTGGTCGATGCAGCCACGACCAGGTCTAAAGCCAGCCCGATTTTCTCGTGTTTGCAGTTCACGAGTCTTAGTTAGGCGTCCGATAATTATCGAGGCTAGTATTTTAGATACTATGTTAGTCAAAGTAGTCCCTCTACGGTTGTCACAGGATGATTTTGACTCTCTCTTATATATTGGAACGATAAATGATTGTGACCAGTCAGATGGGACAACGTCTAACTTCTAGATCTTAGCTTAAATATTAGTCAACCTAATCGCTAAAATTGGACCACCATCCTTAAAGACTTCTGGAGCCAATCCATCTGGACCAACTGCCCTTCCTCGTTTCAGATTAACTGTGGTTTTTGGTTGAGATCATGAATTAATTGATGTTAGACCACCGTTGGAAACCTGGAAGCACTGGACGGCCGTTTCGTCCTAGTATGGGACTCCTCAGCAGTGTGCATCCACGATCCCGCACCCCCATACTGATAATTAACATGTGCTCACTAGTGACTAGCTTCGTGAGGGAATTCTCGGAGTTCTAGTGAGAAGTCGTGACCAGTGGAGCTAATCCGTGTCGGGTAGAGACAGGTATCTACCTCAGTACAATGGAAGGTGGTCGCGCAATTTCGTGGATTGGTTGATGTTAGACACTAACACCATTGGATGCCGGCTCAGTGGTCTAATGGTTAAGTGCTCAGGCGCGAAGCCAGTAGGTTCTGGGTTCGAATCCCGCGGGGTGCGGGATCGTGGATGCGCACTGCTGAGGAGTCCCATACTAGGACGAAACGGCCGTCCAGTGCTTCCAGGTTTCCAACGGTGGTCTAACATCAATTAATTCATGATCTCAACCAAAAACTTAACAATCTCCACAACCCCCATACTGATAATTAACTATAGTTTTTGAACTTCTGCTAGAGTTGGGGGACCTGCTTCAATGTTCTATTCACACTGTCTGAAAATGGTGGGTAGTCGCAGAGTAGCTGAAGGTCAGCTGAACTGCTCCTTAAATTGTTCCGCCCATCGTTCTAAACGTCTGGACTGGGAGCAGATGAGAGTGTCGTCTTCTTCCGAGACAATCTGACTTACATTTGGCTCATTAATTCCAGTTTCTTTCATTAGTTTGTGGAGCTGTCTTATGTAAACTACAGCCGCCGCCTTTTCCATCTCTTTTGCTTTCTTTGCCCACCACTGCTCACAGTCGTTCCTTAGACTTTTGCTCAACCTACATCTGATTTGTTTTTGCTTTTCATCGCGTTTAGAGTCTGATGAGATGAGTTTACAAGAACCCATCAGTGCAATAGACCTTGAAGAAATCCATTGGTTCTTTGTAACCATTTGGTTTAGATCACTAACATATCACTGCTGTTTCCACAGCTGATTGTATAGCTTTCCAAGCAACATTTGGGTCAGCCTCGTTTCCAGAACTACCTAAGTGTGACCTCAGTTGTTCCTGGAACCTACTTTCGATTTTCTCATTAGTCAACTCACCTCTAACAGGTCTTCTGAGTATGCCTTTTCCGCGGCCAGTGAGGCGCAAGCAGATGCGTGCCCGTATTAGAGCATGGTCCGAGTCCAAGTAGGTATTCCAGAATGAGCGACAATCTTCTATCGACCCTCTCCAACGATGACTGATGGCAATATGGTATATTTGAGCCCATTTCTTCAGAAGGCTTTCTGTAAAAGTCTTTCACTTCATCCGGGCTGCAGTCAGTGAGAGCGTAGGCAGAAACAACGAAGAAGCAACAACGTGTGACCCTATCCTTCCGAGTTTATACGGAGCCGTTTAGCTGAATAGCACGTAGACGACTGGTAACAGGGATCCACTCCAATAGTGTTTGTTCCGCCCCCGTACTTAGTGCTATTCGTACATCTGCTAGTTCACTGGATTATGTTCCTTGAAAAACTTCTCAAACCCTAATGTTTCCGATTACTTCTTATACTCTTACTACCTTTACCACTACGGGATTTGAGTCGACAACCGTGTCACTGTGCTAATGTGGTATGGCAACTCAAAATGATGTACGTACGTATGAAGTTCTACATTGTTACTGACTGACTGACGACCACGAGAACTAGCCGTCGGGTCACCACATAACACGGAGGGTGTATCTCATTGGCTCTCCGTTTTGCCGAGGTGAGGTCTAGTGAATGACCACACTAGAATCCTACATGCGTGTTTCGGAGACACAGCATACATCAATGGTACGAGATTCTAGGGCTTGCTGACCGATTTGACATAGGCTCCAATGTGTAGTTTGGAGCGAGGTTTCAGTAGACCTGGGAGTTTTGCGCATTAGAATCGTGGGCTATGACGACACTCGAGGAGGAAGCCAAAAGTCAGTCAGTCAGCTACGACGTAGGACCAGCCACATATATGCATCGGTCTAAGTTCCCATACCTCATTAACACAACAAGATGGACACCGAATTCATAAAAGTAGTTAATTAGGGAGGTTGATTATGAATACAGTGGTCTTGGGTGCTGTTAGAGGTATGAGGGCGGTTATCACTTCCCGGTTGCCCACACCGTGGAAGGGTTCTTCTGGAGGTACCTGGGAAGGAAATTGGATTAGAGGTGGTTTTAGTGACCTGAGAGCGTGACCGCAGTGCCCAAGGGACAACTGTTTGAGGTTGGTCACACACGACCTTAAGAGTAATTTTTGTGTTAGCTCCGTACTTGTAGAGACCTTACCGCCGAAGACGGATATCCGTGGGATAAGGCGAGGTGTGCATTTTTAGGGTCGACCTTTTCTAACTCCACCCCTCCTTGTGGGAAGGCAGCATCGCTGTCATGCTGGTTGTCTGAAGGAAACACCTTACTGCTGTCACACCTCTGTACAGTCAGCAGTACGACTTCGCCTTCGGACCTTAGGTTTGTCGCTTTTGGTCTTGCCGCTCTTCAACCGACCTGTCTGACATGGTAGGACCTTGAGGAACGGTTGTTCCAGCCAGTATAGCTCGGTTGCTTCACCACGATAGGCAAGCCCGACCACCACGTCAAAGTAGCAACAATGGTCGGGAGTTTTGAACAGTAATGCATCAAAAATTCATGCGCCGAGTGCTGTTAAATGTCTACGAAGGATAGTAAGAGTGATCAGATTCCTGAATTGTCTCCCCATTATACGGAAACTTATAGTGATAAGTTTGAAGGAAACGGCTACAGAATGAATGAGTCACTTGTTAGAGTTGGAATTAGCTAAAATATGCTTCATTCAGACAGAGAAATTGAGTTGGAAAGGTTACATCAAAGGGGAAGGGAACATTATGGTCAAGTTGTGGTCGACAGGGTGATGTCGTACGGGCCTACATCTGCTTCATGTGGGGTTGATGTTCCTCCTGGGAAGGACTGGATAGCAATGATATCTAAAGCTTTACAGCTACGAGAGAGGGAGATCATAAGGTTTGATGGTAATCTCATCAACTATTGTAGTTTCATACGGAATTTCGAGAAACGTTTTGATGAAAGTGTTGGATCCCGATCTAGGTTAAACTATTTGATTCAGTATTGTGATGGTGGAGCTAAGGCTACTATTCACTTGGTATTGTTTTTACTTTAAAATTCCCATTGATGTTTAGGACTGTAATTCACCAGTCTCTTGTTGGCATATCTGCATACTGCGCGTATTACCTCGTTATAGCGTTAATTCATAAGCATTACATGCAAACGTTGATAGTAGCTAGCAGTGGAATCTAGGACGCGCGTTTCGTCCTATTAGGGCCCCGTCAAATGGATGTAGCTGCATCTCAGAGAAACTGCCGAGCACCGTGGTCATGTACCGTCGAAGGATGTGGCTGGAGACACTATACCTTGTTACACAGGAAGTGGGAAGAGCAGAGAGACAGTGATGGTAATGCCCACATTAATACCCAAATCTTTACTGAGGAAAGTGCTAAGTGTGTACAATGACGGGTAGCACTTGCAAGTGTCTGTATTGGTAAAATTAGAGAAAAGGATGTACAGACTTGCGTTTTCCTAAATAGCATCTCAAACGCCTCGCTTATTACAAAAGATTTAGCTAGAAAGCTGGGTTTAGAGGGAGAGTTCAAGACGCTCTTATTAAAACCGCTGGATATTCAATCGACATTTCAGTGTAAAGAGGTTCAACTAGAAGTTTCCTCCTTAGACTCTTCTTCATTACTCATGATTCCAAAGGTGTGAACGGTCAAGAGATAACCTATGTTACGTAGGACGGTGCCAACATCTCAGATGACATTGCGGTCTCACTTGCGTGTGACCGTGCCAGGAGTTGAGAATAAGGACGTCAAGGTACTAATAGAGTACAATTTACCTGAGACACATGAGATAAGAGTTGGAAAATGCTATAAAAACTCCTTTGGCGTGGACGTTTTTTGGACCCTACAATGAGACCACGAAATGTGTAGATATCATAAACTGTTGTCTAAAAATGGACTAGAAGCTAGATTAGACCAATTATATAAAATGGAGTTTGAAGACCCGAATCACTGTGTCCCCATGTCGGCTGAAGACCGTAAAGCCTTGGACGCTATGTCTAAATTTATGCAGTTAGTAAACGGACATTAACAAATAGCTTTGTCCTGGCGTCATCAACAAAGCCTACCCAATAATAGAAAACTAGCAATGAGTAGATTAAATTGTTTGAGAAACCGGCTCATCCATGACCAGAGATTGTACAAAGAATATGTTAATTTGATGACACAATACACTGAACGAGGCTACGCCGAAAAAAACGAGAGAGAATTGCATTAGGTGTCGGGTTTGTTACTTACCGCATCATCTATTCCCTCACCCAAAAAATCTAATAAGCTAAGAATCGTATTGGACTGTGCGGCGCAATACGCAGGGACGTCCCTGAATAAAAACTTGTATTCCGGTTCAGATCTGGTCAATAACCTGGTAGATGTCTTCATCACATTTCGGCGAAGACCAATGGGTCTCACGGTAAATATATTTTCAGTTGAAAGAAATCGTACGTTTAGGGAGTTTTGATCTGACCAAATGAGCCAGCAAAAATATAGAATTAGTGAAGCTTATTCCAGAGGAAGACCTAATAGAAACGTAGACATCTGTTTATCTATGGAAAGCAACGAAAGGATTCGAGAAACACAGTGGAATGTTCGAGCGGGTAAGATCACCTTCAGAGTGCGCGAATTCGATGCGTCCATGCAAGGAAAATCATTTTGACATATGTAGCTTCTACGTTCGACCCAGTCGGGTTTATAACTCCAGTTGTTTTACCAGCTAAATTAATTTTGTAAGATACTTGTCGGCAAAATCTGGCATGGGACGCAGATATTTCCAGTGAGTTTATTACGAGATGGGAACTGTTACTTCCTAGATGTCTCGTACCAGAATCGTACAAACCACTGGCTACTTAGATTCATTGCTTTGCGAATGCCTCAGAATTTGCATACGATGTTGTGGCGTATGCTCGTTTTAAAGATGGCTGCCGTCAAGTTCACTTTTCCCTTCGATTGGCTAAGTCCAGGGTTGCCCCACTGAAACCTATAACCATTCCTAGGATGGAATTAGCAACACCGGAATAGGTAGGGCAAGATTTAATGCTTTATCCACTAAGCCACTGTTTCACAGAATTCCTCTTTTCATAATATATATTAGGAATTTATTTAGATGTTTATTGTGGAAAGATTTGAGTTGTCTAGCACATAACTGACTGACCGAGCTATTTATGAGAAGTAAATTACTGGACTAAGTGAAACATCAAAAACACTAAGCAAAGAGCAGAAGCAGTTAAAAAGACTGCAGAAACGATTCTAACGTTCACTTACTCTCGGATCCCAGACAGGTAAGCACAAACTTGCAATATACTCACACTCCCGCAACCTAACAGGTTTCGGCCAAGGCCATTGACTGAATATGGTAAAAAATAGATAGACGATCATGGATGGCGTAGCGTACGGATAAAGTTGGCAAATTCGAGAAACTAAAATTGCCCAAGACACGCCACCGAGGAACCCCAATGCATTTGAATAGACATTCCGACGCTTAGCCCAGATTCGTATAACCTTAAATAATGGCACAAAGGAATTTGCTATGTGGCATGATGAGTTACCTTTAGGGCTACTTTAAAAGAATTTTTATTGTACACAAGATTGAGAATGTCCTCTGTGACACGAACACCATTAATACTGCGCACATCTCGTTCATCCATATTTCTCATGAGCACCTCTGTGTTTTCACAAAGACTGAAGTTTTCCGGTATAGACATTTGATCAATTTGAGCAAATAAAAGGTCGATCTATAGGAAGAAATTTATTGCGTATTATGTGACGCAGAGGTATTGCATACTTCAACTCCCATAAATTTCATTTTAAGTACAGGAACAAAGGCATCCACAACAGCGTGTAAGTCTTCCACATTAGAATTTTCCGCTAATACAGTCTGAAAATCACTGAAAAACTCCTCGCGTGTTATAAACCGTGGGACGACCAGTAAAGAATCAATATCAGCACCCCTGAAATTGACACCTAAACGATATGAACCGAAAGTGAAAATTTTCCCAGTTGTAGAATTAGCAACATGTGCGGGGAGATTTTGTTCCAGTGCTTTTTGACGAATCCATGCATTTGAAATTTCCTGCAACCTAACGAGAGCTTCACGTCTCTGTGATATCTCCTCTTGAGTTTCAAAAATATTAAGTTGAGCAAGGCTAGCCTCTAGTTCCTGTGTATCTCTAAAATCTTGTTCCGTAGGTTTCTTGAAGCTGAGAGCTCCTGTTTCACCAAGACACCTAGCTGGTATTTCCTCACCAACATTCATCTGCAGAGAAAACCGAAACTACACAAGTTAAATGTACATTTATACATTAATACAATAAATGACAAATGATCAGTATATGATCAAATATACCTACGAGGTCAAAACTGGCAAAAACCCGAGTCCGCACTTACTGTTTGAAGTGATCTGATAGAATTGGTCAAGAAAAGTGTTTATTTCAGTAGCTGTGTGTGCTAGTGGTAGCATGACTGACAAGATTAAATGACATGCAGTGGAAACCAGAGTGACTTACGTTAGTCTTATTTTAGTCTGTATGTAAAAGGTTGGGTTTGCAATGCGTTGGCGATAGCTGTTTTGCTCTATAATCGTAAAACGTGGCCTCGAAATTAAGAATGTTTGATGACTTTGTGTTCCATCGTCGTTGTCTTCAGAGGGTTGTTGGAATCCAGTAGCAACACCATGTTAGAAATACTGGTGTTCGGGAATGCGTATTTAGGCTATTTTAATACACCGGCGTCGGTAACTTAGATGTGTTACGAATGCGGAGTGGAAAAAATAAGATAGTTTGTGACATGACACCGTAGTATAAAAGCATGTATAAGCCTGGAATCTCTCGGCAGAATACGACTTCGTGGTTGTCGTCCGAGAGGTGCTGTAACTCAATGGATTCAGACATCAGATATAGCTCAAAATATATCATCTGCGTATTTAACGTCGAAAAATACACCTACTGGTAGATCAATGTCTAAAAATTCTGTCGACGAGAATGTTATTTTCATCAGTAGGTCTATGATGAAGTTGAACAAAAATAGAGATAGTGGACATCCTTGACGGACATCACCACTGTCGGACGTCGATAAGTACGCCTGTGTTCTAGTACCTGACGAATGGTGAATATGTGGTCGATGCAGCCACGACCAGGTCTAAAGCCAGCCCGATTTTCTCGTGTTTGCAGTTCACGAGTCTTAGTTAGGCGTCCGATAATTATCGAGGCTAGTATTTTAGATACTATGTTAGTCAAAGTAGTCCCTCTACGGTTGTCACAGGATGATTTTGACTCTCTCTTATATATTGGAACGATAAGTGATTGTGACCAGTCAGATGGGACAACGTCTAACTTCTAGATCTTAGCTTAAATATTAGTCAACCTAATCGCTAAAATTGGACCACCATCCTTAAAGACTTCTGGAGCCAATCCATCTGGACCAACTGCCCTTCCTCGTTTCAGATTAACTGTGGTTTTTGGTTGAGATCATGAATTAATTGATGTTAGACCACCGTTGGAAACCTGGAAGCACTGGACGGCCGTTTCGTCCTAGTATGGGACTCCTCAGCAGTGTGCATCCACGATCCCGCACCCCCATACTGATAATTAACATGTGCTCACTAGTGACTAGCTTCGTGAGGGAATTCTCGGAGTTCTAGTGAGAAGTCGTGACCAGTGGAGCTAATCCGTGTCGGGTAGAGACAGGTATCTACCTCAGTACAATGGAAGGTGGTCGCGCAATTTCGTGGATTGGTTGATGTTAGACACTAACACCATTGGATGCCGGCTCAGTGGTCTAATGGTTAAGTGCTCAGGCGCGAAGCCAGTAGGTTCTGGGTTCGAATCCCGCGGGGTGCGGGATCGTGGATGCGCACTGCTGAGGAGTCCCATACTAGGACGAAACGGCCGTCCAGTGCTTCCAGGTTTCCAACGGTGGTCTAACATCAATTAATTCATGATCTCAACCAAAAACTTAACAATCTCCACAACCCCCATACTGATAATTAACTATAGTTTTTGAACTTCTGCTAGAGTTGGGGGACCTGCTTCAATGTTCTATTCACACTGTCTGAAAATGGTGGGTAGTCGCAGAGTAGCTGAAGGTCAGCTGAACTGCTCCTTAAATTGTTCCGCCCATCGTTCTAAACGTCTGGACTGGGAGCAGATGAGAGTGTCGTCTTCTTCCGAGACAATCTGACTTACATTTGGCTCATTAATTCCAGTTTCTTTCATTAGTTTGTGGAGCTGTCTTATGTAAACTACAGCCGCCGCCTTTTCCATCTCTTTTGCTTTCTTTGCCCACCACTGCTCACAGTCGTTCCTTAGACTTTTGCTCAACCTACATCTGATTTGTTTTTGCTTTTCATCGCGTTTAGAGTCTGATGAGATGAGTTTACAAGAACCCATCAGTGCAATAGACCTTGAAGAAATCCATTGGTTCTTTGTAACCATTTGGTTTAGATCACTAACATATCACTGCTGTTTCCACAGCTGATTGTATAGCTTTCCAAGCAACATTTGGGTCAGCCTCGTTTCCAGAACTACCTAAGTGTGACCTCAGTTGTTCCTGGAACCTACTTTCGATTTTCTCATTAGTCAACTCACCTCTAACAGGTCTTCTGAGTATGCCTTTTCCGCGGCCAGTGAGGCGCAAGCAGATGCGTGCCCGTATTAGAGCATGGTCCGAGTCCAAGTAGGTATTCCAGAATGAGCGACAATCTTCTATCGACCCTCTCCAACGATGACTGATGGCAATATGGTATATTTGAGCCCATTTCTTCAGAAGGCTTTCTGTAAAAGTCTTTCACTTCATCCGGGCTGCAGTCAGTGAGAGCGTAGGCAGAAACAACGAAGAAGCAACAACGTGTGACCCTATCCTTCCGAGTTTATACGGAGCCGTTTAGCTGAATAGCACGTAGACGACTGGTAACAGGGATCCACTCCAATAGTGTTTGTTCCGCCCCCGTACTTAGTGCTATTCGTACATCTGCTAGTTCACTGGATTATGTTCCTTGAAAAACTTCTCAAACCCTAATGTTTCCGATTACTTCTTATACTCTTACTACCTTTACCACTACGGGATTTGAGTCGACAACCGTGTCACTGTGCTAATGTGGTATGGCAACTCAAAATGATGTACGTACGTATGAAGTTCTACATTGTTACTGACTGACTGACGACCACGAGAACTAGCCGTCGGGTCACCACATAACACGGAGGGTGTATCTCATTGGCTCTCCGTTTTGCCGAGGTGAGGTCTAGTGAATGACCACACTAGAATCCTACATGCGTGTTTCGGAGACACAGCATACATCAATGGTACGAGATTCTAGGGCTTGCTGACCGATTTGACATAGGCTCCAATGTGTAGTTTGGAGCGAGGTTTCAGTAGACCTGGGAGTTTTGCGCATTAGAATCGTGGGCTATGACGACACTCGAGGAGGAAGCCAAAAGTCAGTCAGTCAGCTACGACGTAGGACCAGCCACATATATGCATCGGTCTAAGTTCCCATACCTCATTAACACAACAAGATGGACACCGAATTCATAAAAGTAGTTAATTAGGGAGGTTGATTATGAATACAGTGGTCTTGGGTGCTGTTAGAGGTATGAGGGCGGTTATCACTTCCCGGTTGCCCACACCGTGGAAGGGTTCTTCTGGAGGTACCTGGGAAGGAAATTGGATTAGAGGTGGTTTTAGTGACCTGAGAGCGTGACCGCAGTGCCCAAGGGACAACTGTTTGAGGTTGGTCACACACGACCTTAAGAGTAATTTTTGTGTTAGCTCCGTACTTGTAGAGACCTTACCGCCGAAGACGGATATCCGTGGGATAAGGCGAGGTGTGCATTTTTAGGGTCGACCTTTTCTAACTCCACCCCTCCTTGTGGGAAGGCAGCATCGCTGTCATGCTGGTTGTCTGAAGGAAACACCTTACTGCTGTCACACCTCTGTACAGTCAGCAGTACGACTTCGCCTTCGGACCTTAGGTTTGTCGCTTTTGGTCTTGCCGCTCTTCAACCGACCTGTCTGACATGGTAGGACCTTGAGGAACGGTTGTTCCAGCCAGTATAGCTCGGTTGCTTCACCACGATAGGCAAGCCCGACCACCACGTCAAAGTAGCAACAATGGTCGGGAGTTTTGAACAGTAATGCATCAAAAATTCATGCGCCGAGTGCTGTTAAATGTCTACGAAGGATAGTAAGAGTGATCAGATTCCTGAATTGTCTCCCCATTATACGGAAACTTATAGTGATAAGTTTGAAGGAAACGGCTACAGAATGAATGAGTCACTTGTTAGAGTTGGAATTAGCTAAAATATGCTTCATTCAGACAGAGAAATTGAGTTGGAAAGGTTACATCAAAGGGGAAGGGAACATTATGGTCAAGTTGTGGTCGACAGGGTGATGTCGTACGGGCCTACATCTGCTTCATGTGGGGTTGATGTTCCTCCTGGGAAGGACTGGATAGCAATGATATCTAAAGCTTTACAGCTACGAGAGAGGGAGATCATAAGGTTTGATGGTAATCTCATCAACTATTGTAGTTTCATACGGAATTTCGAGAAACGTTTTGATGAAAGTGTTGGATCCCGATCTAGGTTAAACTATTTGATTCAGTATTGTGATGGTGGAGCTAAGGCTACTATTCACTTGGTATTGTTTTTACTTTAAAATTCCCATTGATGTTTAGGACTGTAATACACCAGTCTAAGTGGAAACTCGGAGGGATATGTTTACCATTGTTTGTAGGCATGGTTTTAAAAGCTAGTATCAGCATGAAAATGGTTGAAATTCACATCATATTACCTCAAAGGTAACAGTCCTCCCCGCCATCTAAAGTTTACTGAGTGGATGTGACTATTAACTAGTAATAAAGATACTCAACTCAATTGAACCCAACTCTACCTTCTTCAATTTGGACAATCAGATAGTATCACTAACCCTTATATAAAATATACGTAGGAGCTGAGCACATTCATTTTTTGCTTGATAAATGAGCTGCACTTTTCTATTGAGTTAAGTAAACTTTAGTGTGTAACAAACCCCTTTAATTTCACTGAATATTAATATAGACAAACCTGCCACATTGAATTAAGCTCATGTTTGAAGACATTGAGAAATATGACTCAGAATCTGTAGAAGTGGTGCAGAGTTAATTGTTTAGTCTTCTTTGTTAGATCTTACGTTTTAAAATTATTCTATAATTCTCATCCTGCGAATTCATTATTCCTTCTTGAATCATATCAATAAGCTTTTTACTACCACTAATACCGCCAGCATGTTAGTTTGCATAATCCTATTGTGCTGTACTTTGGTGTAGTCAACCAACCATATTAATGGATGAGTTCCGAATCCTTTACTCTGTGATTATGTCCATCCCCGGAAAAACAATCAGTAGTGTACTTAGTGTATACCGGGTGGCAGGTGTAGACGCCGCTGCAACTAAGATCTCAGGGTTGCCTTGAGAACTAGTTTTCTATTCGTACAAATTTCGGTACTATAGAAACTAATGTTATACCAGTACGAATTCGTACTGCATTCTTTAAAGAATGCATGAGCTGACACCAACAAATTATGATTTCTCGACGGACCCGCGACATGCATTGGATAACACTTCAAAATTAACTACGATCAATTATGCACACCTTACTTTGAAACATTTTAGTATTATCTGTTCTGACAGACTCAAGTTTTGTCCACAAGTCAACAAGATTCAAAGTTGAATACTACTATACCACCAGGACATTGTCATATACCAAGTGCTTACGGAGAAATGTTGAATTAATTGACAGTCTCTTATGAAATTATTCTAATTCTTCAATATGTATATCAGCGATAACTATTAACCAAACAGTTAGCAAATATTAAAAACCCGATCAGAATTTGTATTAAAATATTAAGACTAAATAAGGCAATCAAAATGTCTGCAAAATTAGTTCCAAATGTAGCTAAATTTCTGCTACCTTACATCTGAAAGCAGAAAACGAAGTCTGTCTCAAGCATCTTTTTCAAATTATGACGACTCGAATTTTAACACCCATATTTCATACTGGTCATTAAAACGATTATTTGTCCATGATAGTACAAACTCATCAGTTTAAAAGGATGAAAATAACCTCTAATCAGAAATATTACACGTATAACTTTGCGGGGAACCAGTAACAAGGACGCTTACCGCACATAGGCATTTGAAACGAATATCCCACACCGCCTTCGAGTATGTAAAACATTCTTAATACGTTATTAGCATAAGAAAAATTTCAATGTTCCAATATGATCTTCTTTTCTATATCACTTTCTTTAACTTAAAAAATCCACATAAATATCGAAAGGAATTGAGCTTCGCACTTAAGCCTTGTTGGACAGAATAAGTCAACTCTTTGTACTTTGAGATCCGAATCCGGATAGTGGCGGAAGCGATGTTAGTTACGGAAAGATGTTGTTCTTGTTATATTATGACTGGTACTCGAAGGCGGAAACAAGTTGGTTGGTGACAAGACTGACCGGGAAGTGAAATCCGAGGTGGTACATCTCAATACCTGCAAGCCAAAAGTAATCATCGTGTTTTCTCTGAACGACAGCAGAATGTCCCACTATCAAGCATCAGAATCATGCACCCGATTATCCTTCTTCAATACACAGCTTCATTTGGACGTTTTATTTTGGGTCGGTTTTTTAAGTCTATTTATTGATATCTTTAGATTACGTCTTCTAGACAAATTTGAATTTACATTAATATAACTTTGTATGGAACTAGGATATACCATGGAAACAAGGAGTGAAAGGTTTAAAGATAATACATAATTCAAAAGTTATGGTTTTAAAGCTGTTTTTCAATCGTGTGAGGTTTATGAGAATCAATGTAATGATAACTTGAGTGTTCATATCATGAGTGCCAATGTGCTTAGTTCTGAAAGGTTTAAATTAAATAATGGAATGCTTAAAAAGATATAAGTAGAAAAGAGTCTCGAATCGGAAAAAGAGCTTGAGATGTTAAATATTTTAAACGAGGTCTAGTTTGTTGATTTGTTATTATGAAGACGTTTACGAGTAACTTATGGATAGTGTTGAGGCGAATCCTAAGATGTTATGTTATTTACAGGATAATACTGGTTGTAACGTTGATTTGGGAGAAGCACTCAGAATTTCGAAAGGAAAGTGGGCTCATGAGGACAAGAATAAGTTGTCCTTTGTTATTAATAATGTCGACCTACCTTAAATTAATATTAAGCACATTAATGGACAGCCTGTTCAGTAACACCATTTTGTTAGGCAGGTTACTAGCTTCATAGTAAGCAAATTGTCCAACGAGAGTCAACAGTAATTATATTTGTTTTACTTTAATAAACGAGAACACAGGTGGGGACAATTAATGTACTTTAGTCCAAATCTATAGAATATCTTGTTAAAATATGAGGACCATACGCTGAATACTTCATTCGCGAATTCCCATCATTTATCCTCCAGTTCATGATTCCTATCTATTTTCGCTTCTGTTCTCTTCAACTCGATCTTCTTAGCCTTCTGCTACCAGGTTTTTCACTTCGGATTGGTGTTACATACTTCTAATGTATGTCGACATAAGCAACATACACCACAATACTACTGTAAAGGATAAGCCAGGACAGCCATTGAAACTTGCATCTCCTTGCCTTGTTGTTTGGATTATGACAGAGTGGGATAGATTCTGTATGATATATATTGAAGGGAACGTCTGATTGCCCGTAAACTAAGTGTAAATTGGCTTAATCGTAAATCTGTTTGGTGCTCAGTAGATGATATGGCTGACTTCACAATCAAGTTACGTAACGCATATAACACTGAGACAAGTGGGATGTGTGTCCGATGTAAACTGTACAGCTAATGTGGAAATAGTTGTGTCACGTTTACTACTGGATTTACAGGATAGGTGGGAAGAGGTTGTCGACAAAACCATGATGACAGTTGTATATCATGTTGTTTATGGAATCTCTAGGACGTGGCCTGTTATAGTGACAGTTCTTATAGTGTGTATAGTGTTTTGGAATGTTAACTGATCTAATCTGTAACATTATTATTCTTATTTGTTTATAGATATGGGAAGATGAGTATTTAAAATGGAATGAACCGGAATTCGGAAATGTAAGAACTTTGCGTGTACCAGCTGAGCAAGTATGGACTCCAGATACTTATGTATTTAATAAGTAGGCAAATTTTCTATATATTATTTTTCATAGTAAATAAATAATACACATAGGGAAAACTTTCAGTGAGTTCTCAGTTAATGCCCATCTCTACTGAACGCTACTTTCCTAGAATTTGTTCACCTGATTTCATGGGACTGCACCTCCTGACGTTGCTCCACTGACTTGTGGATTAGACCTTTAGATCAAAGGCTCCGGATGTGACCCCTTAAGATAACCACCTATTTGGATTTGAACACCTGGACAGTATTCCAGCCTTCACACCAATCGAATGACTTATGACTTAGTAGAATTCCATATTTTTTGTTTTGTTTTTCAAAACTATGAGTTTGTCAATTAAATGTACTTACATGTCAGTTTGTACATTTCATTAATGGGACTTGGTCCATATATTCTGTAATTCTAAACAAGAAATATTTATTAGTCACTTAACTGATAAATGACTTATGGTAATGAACACTTCTAAGGAGTCCCATACTAGGACGAAACGGTCGTCCAGTGCTTCCGGGTTTTCCATGGTGGTCTAACTTCAATTGACTCATGAGCTAAATTACTAAATTACTGTAATATCCACGAAACCCTTCTTTGGTTATAGTCTGATTTATTGTTTAATATTAAAATTACATGTTGACATGACTTTTAATCTTCTGAAAGTAAGCATATGACATGCGTGAACATATGCAATCACTTGTATTGTTCGGCGATGATAACGGCTACAATTATGTCGTCTGCCACCATAAATTTTGGTTATACACTTTAACCTGATCGATTTCGAAAATGATGTCGCATGTTCCATGGTAGCTCTCAAGTCGTAGATGTGCGGCAAGGGGTAACGATCGGGAGTCAATCACCGATAACCACCAGTTGAACGGCATTCACTGCTGTCCTTTCTAGAGACCATGTGCAAGGGTTATTTGATGGCCCAATTGGTGTCACCATCTTGACACATCGACTTTGGCGGCTAGGACATGTTCTAAGAATGTCCTCCCAGAGAATTCCTTGTCGTACATTACTTGCCGACTTTGGGACTGGTTGGAGAAAGCGGAGAGGTGGTCAGTATATGACATGGTGTCGTGATATAAAAGAAAGCTGCAAAGGGGTGGTTTGTGTTGGTCCTTCACGACTCCCTGACTAGGGTCCGAGAGATAGAGCTACACAGTGCCTAGAGACGTTACTAGATATGGTTCAGAATAGAAGCCAGTGGCAATCCTGTTGTGACCTTTTTTTACTTTCTTCATAAGAAATGGACGTAACGTCTTTAACTGAAGGAGTTCCATCGGGTTGTTTTTTGCTAACTGAGCTACCTGTTTCATTATCATTATTGCACTCTCATACACTAATTTCTGTTCTTTGTTGTTCTTTTGTTTATATGCATTTTACATTCTCTACTTCTTCACATCCTCATTGTTATTGTGTGGCACATATGTATTTGGTTCCCCCTTGAACCAATATTTGTTTTCAAATAAGAAAATGTGAATCTGGAATTTTGTGGCTATAATTTAGCTGGTCCTATCCCAATTTACGTTGTGCCTCACAAAGTGATGTCAGACATCAAAGATTTGTTTATATAAGCAATTTTTTCTATTCTCCCTCGCCTAGCTCCTAATGGATGGATGGGTGGATGTAAGTAATGGCGGTGTGGATCTGTTGCCTGGAGAAAGACTTCTCGACCTTGAGTATGCGGATGATATTGTCTTACTGTGCGATAATGCTCAAGGCATGCAATCCGCACTTAATCAGTTGGCAATCAGTGTCCGTAGGTATGGTATGTGCTTTGCACCTCCGAAGTGCAAAGTACTTCTACAAGACTGGCAGGATTCTAATCCTGTACTTACTCTGGATGGTGAACAGATAGAAGTAGTCGAGAAGTTCGTGTATCTGGGTAGCTGCATAAGTGCTAGTGGGGGCGTGAGTGATGAGATCAATGCACGAATAGTGAAAGCCAGAGCGGCTTATGCCATTCTTGGCCACCTTTGGCGCCTTCTTGATGTCAGTCTGGCTGTAAAAGGTCGGATCTACAACGCGTCAGTGAGAGCAGTTTTGCTCCATGCTTGTGAAACCTGGCATTCAGTTACCTTGAACATAGTACTAGACAGAGGTTTGACCTCCTGATCCATTTGTTTAAAGTCTAGTACTAAAATCAATAACCCAACACTTTACATCAATGGTTGTTCAGAAGTCTTTTACACTATGTCTTCTGTTCATAAGAAATAAATACGTGTCACTTCCAATTACTTATTTGCGATTCCATAAGCCGCTTATCCATCTTACTTTTCTACAACCTTGGGTTCGGTTTCGTGATTCTCTTGAGTGATTTTTATAACAAGTTACTATCATGCTATCTTTTATTTTTGGTGATTTTGATTCCTCAATACATCTAGTTCTTATTCTGCTGATGGGAAATTAGGTCATCCTCAGCTAATCTTTAAGTTTGCAGCGTTTGATCACTTATGGGTATGGTTGTTCAAAAATTAGATTGGTTGGAGATGTTTTTGTTAATTTTTCTTGACTTTTCTCATTCGTAGTTTTTGATGGGAAGGCGTTTAATACCTATCAAGCAATTACGTGTCCGCACATAGAAACAATAAGCTCTTCATTTGATTGGATCCCTCAAGCTGTTCCCAGTCATTTGAGCAAATTACTTGCGCGTTTACATGGTGCCCCATTTGTGTGGTTCATTGGTCAGTTGGGTAAATTTTTAATGCGTCCATCGTTTAACTTCTCTGAAGAATTTAAAATATTCGACGATCAACATGAGAATCCAGTTGTTGGTATTCATGTCCGACGTACGGATAAAGTGAGTTTGTGTACTCTTATCATACAGTTTTTCATTTTCTTTTACTTAACTAGTGTGACGAAGTGATTATTTACGGTTAGATTTGTGAGTAAAATTACTAATTATAAAACATAACTCATGTCGATGTACAAGTTTCCCTAGCCATATTAAAGATATTTGACTACCGGAGAATTACTTCAATTTCATAGAACAAATCTAATCAGTGGTATACTAGAAAGGATTTAAACAATGTGGAGAGTTACGGTAAGGTAACTTAAATAGTATAGCAAACTGTGAACTGGG